AAATAATAAGACAAAAAATTACGTTGGAAATAAATTTTAGGGGTTGCGTTTTCCACCCCTTACAACCATGGGGTAAACCAAATAAATTACTGGCTAAGTGTCTTTTTGGTAGTAGAAAATGTCAGGTTAATTTCAATATTGTAACTTGTTTAGTGCTTGTGAAAAAAATTGTTAAACAAATTTTATGTACCCCCTTTAAGGGGCTGTATCTTAACAAGGGATGCTCCAATGAAGTTTCTTTATATGAAAGATCCTATCTTTTTTTCGATGAGGAATCACCCCCTTAAATGTTTTACACTTATTTAGTTACACCCTGTATATTCGCTAAAAATTTATAGGGCTCAAACTGCTCCAGACGGATTAATTCGCATGAATAGTTGAATTGGATCAGGCTGCTCAAACCGTATATATTCGCAACCATGCCGTTATTGCAATTGGTAAGGCGAATTTTTGGGGGCAAGCTTATACTGATTGTGACAAATATTTTTTTATGGAAAGAGGTACTGGTAATAATACTAAGATTGTTCATGTTTCTTTCAGTTTCTATTTAGTACATATACTGTATTTTATTCAAAATAAAATCGTAAAATTTATCGTAAATCGTAATTTAACACAACATAATGTAAAACTATAAGTGGTCTAACTGCTCCAGGCGTATATATTCGCACGCGATAAACTTTTGCGCACGGCGCGGTAGCTACGTTCAGACGTATTGCGCAGCGAAAGGGTTAATTTGAAAAAAACTTTGAATTTTGCATTTAGAATGGGTAGATGGATGGTTTTGGATACCTAGTATAAAAAGAAATTATACATTATATCTGTGTTTCATTTACCCGAGATCTCGGCTAATATCAGCTGTTCTATACGCTAATTAGTCAATTAGGTGAAATTAATTGGGTTATCAGGTAAATAAACACGGCTGTTATAGGTCATACTCCGAAAAAACCTATTCTCAAATAAAATGTCATTGTATAACATCGTGGCTAGTGACCTCTAGCAGATGGGTCACATCTAAAATTGCTGATGTATTTAGCACTGTCAAAAACTTATCTGTACCAAATTTCAATATATTGCATTGTTTTTTTGAAAAAGATATGCCCAAAATTTGATTTAAAAAAAATAGTATTTGACATTCTGTATCTTAAAATAGAATAAGATAGGCTCTTGATCCTTAGGATAAAATTGTCTTATACTTTTATGTTCCCCTGAATTTATAATATTTTTTTCCAAAACATAATCAATTTAATTGTAAGTTTCCTGTTTACCTTTACTCCATGCGGGCCTAACTCTGCTATGTGGATCAAACTCAGGATCATCAGAATCATAACAATCAGCTGTGGGTAATAAAGGAGGGTTAGTCATCATATATATTGGTAAAGGTTGCCGCGCCTTTTCCACCTTCTGTTTTAAAGCCCCTTTTGTCAACTCGCTTTGATTGTCTAACACCGCTTTCATCTCTGCATACTTCTTTTGTTCTGCAATCCTAATCGCCTCTTCTTTCTCTTTGAGTAACTCATAAGCCTTGTGCTTTGCCATCTGTCGCTTTTTCTCGGCCTCCTCCTTCTGTTTTTGCAATTTCTTATCTCTCTCAGCCATAGCCTGTTTGTATTTCTCTTCTTTAATGCGCTGTGCTTCCAGTTGCTTCTGCATCTCTTTCTCTAACATCTCCCTCTGCTGTTGAGCTCGTTGCTGTTTCTCCTCTCTCTTCCTTCTTTTTTCCTCAGTTTGTGCCTGAAGTAAGGCCTCTTTTTTTCGTAAGGCCTCTCTTTCTTTCTCCTGTCTTCGTTTTTCTCTTTCCCTGAACTCTGCTTGTGAAGCTTTCAATGCACTAGCACTTTTCACCGACAAGATACTTTCGTTGCTAGTGGAAGTATTGCTGCTATAAACTGGATGAAGTTTACTGATCTTTGACGTGCTGCATACTTTGGGAACAAATTTATAAGTAATGGGAGTAAGTTGCTTTTCTTTTTCTGAAGAATGTTTGCTCTTTTCATCACTGGGTTTAAGTTCATTTTCTTCCTTTTGTTCATCATCATGTTTTTGCATCTTTTTCTTTGTTCTCGTAACCCTTGTAGGAATGCTACTATATTCGACACCACCAAGCTTTTCAAATGCTTCTACCTTCTTCTTAACCGGGGTCTTCTCAAATGGGCTAAATATCTGTTTATTTCCATTTTTCTTCACATGTTTTGGTGGTGTTTTTGGGGTTTCTTTGACATCTGTTTGGGTAGATGTAGGAGATTGTTGTGTCTCCTTTGTAACTATTTTAGGATTCTCTACGACTACAGTGGAATTTATAGATGGGGGAATATTGTCATTACCACCCAGTGAGCTTTTTTTATATGAAGCAATGTAGGTAGCATCAGCAGCAGGTAGATGTTTATCCTGGTCGTTGTCAATTACAGAAACAGCATCTTCATATTTAGTTTGATTGCTTTCTTTTTCAGAATCTGATTTAGATTTCTTCTTTTCTGTTTCGCTAAATGCATGCTCCATGGATTTTGATCTGCCTCTTTTCTTCTGCTTAGTTTTAGTACGCGTACTTCTCATATTTTTACCTATCTCTTCTACGCCTGAATCTTTGTTTGAAGACACTAAATCTTCTGAAGGAACGTGCTTATTCTGTAGTTTCACTTTAGATCTCGTACTTCTCATCTCCCTCTGGCTGTTAATTTTATCAGTCTCTGAATCTGTCTCTTTCTCATTATCGGAAATTTCTATTGTGGTGATGGTAGTGTTTTGAATAATTACATCCGAACCTTTGGTGATCCTAGTGTTCTCATTGTCACTAGTAATTTCATCATTAGCTTCATTTTTTTTTGTTCTTGTTCGTGTAGATCTTTTTGGTAAATCAATTTTTTCCGTCTTAATTTTCTTCTTTCTTGGTGGTAACCTCGTGGGAGCAGGCATTTCCTCTATCTCTTTCTTGATTTGTACATTTAAGCTCAGTACTTCCTGTTCCCCTTGAATGATTGATATCTTCTCTTTCTTTATAGTAACAGATTCTGTACGCAGTATATTATTTTCGGATAAGTCAGCTAAAGCTGGTTTTCTCAATCGTCCTTTCCTTTTATTTGTTACAACAGCGGACTCTATGTTTTCTTTTCCCGTATTAACTATAAAATAATTAAAAATGTATATCTTTTATTACATAAAATCAAGGTATAGTCTAGGTAAGTGTACTTATACCTAGACGTTAGGAATTAAAATACACACAAGTAAAACGGATTGAAATACAATACACATATAGTTAAAAGATATTTGTTAAGATAGAATTCCAAAATAATGGACCAATAAAGTTCTGTTATCAGAACTATTGTAACAATTTACCATGACAGGGCAATGTCTTTCTACCTCGGGTGTCGAATGCGGTTAATTCCAAGAAAGTGACGCAGGGGTCTTCCTGAAATTCTATTTCAACAAATATCGTACGGATTATACTACTTACCAAGTTTAAAAAAATCTGCATTTTCTGTTTTGAGAAACAGATCAATTTCTTTGAAATAGGAGTCACATTCCTGAAAAAAAATTGTAAATCACGGAATGAAATGAAGCATCGCAGTTTTAGATAATTTTCGTGTCTACTCACAACAGAGCTTCAAAATACTTATAGCAGAATGTCATAATACAACCTAATCATAAATTAAATTAATAGCATATACACGTAAATAATGTATCAAATTTAACTAAATCAAATCAGAATAAGTATAATTCATATCATTTTCACAGAAATTTTGATACCCAAATGTATGAAAGTGCATTAATATGTACACTTTTTTTACTATTGGTTCGTAAATTCCTAGGTACAATTTATGGGTTTAACATTCAATAAGAACTTTATGAATAACAAAAAAGATTAAAGGACCTTGTTTCATATTTGATTATAATATGCAAATGTAATAAATTGTTTTCAAGGGTAAGTATGTACATATTTCTCCTAAAATTTCTGCAAACTGACACAAGTTTTAGATCTATATCATTACTAAATACTGTTAGTAAAACACTAGTAAATGTCTAAATGCCACAAATTGACTTGAGACTCTTGACAAAAATATTAAATACTCTGGAAAACTTACTTGTTTTATAACTTCACAGCCATCAGTACATTTTTCTATAAATTCCTTATTTCTTTTCACTAAATCTTGAATATATTCCATACTATACCTTAAGTTTTCGTCCGAGAAACAAATTCAGGTAAAACGACAAAACCGTTATAAATTTGACGTTTAGCTTTGCTTTGATATTTGTCGTTATTTTGAATTGTTACGTCCGCATCGCGCAGGACCTCAGGGGACCCAACCCTAGATAAATGATACTGGACTACTGGACCCACAAAAT